GTCTGCTTCATAATACGACATTAAAGGTAGTTTAGGCAATTTTGGTTGTGGCTCAGAATGGATGTGTAAAGAAAATCAGATTTTGTGCGGATTGATGTGGTGGCAAGCAAGATGAGGCAGTGGGCCGTGAGAACAAGGACAGGCCAGTGGTGTGACTGGGAATGAGCACGCCACACCGGTCTCGAGTTTCTCACGGAGGAGCTTCGGAAGCACAGAAGGAGGAGCGATGACAGTGAAGGACAAGAGAGGACCAGGCCTGGACTATTTGACGTTATGTTTTGTTTATATGTGTGTGGGGCAGTCGTCCGTGAGGGGCTGCCGCTTTTACTTTCGTTTTGTGTTTGTTTATTTTATGATTAAAGTCGTGAAATCCTCGCCGGTTCCCGCCTCCTCCTTCCCTGAATAACAAACCATGTTACAGTTGTTTACACGCGTGCAACAATGTACAATCTATGTCAGACATGAATAAGAATTTTTATTTGTTGTGCCAGTGTAAAAACAGCCCTGAAGAGACAGTGTGCTGCACTACTAAGGCAAATGGAATCAATCAGCTGTGCACTATAAAGATGATGTGATTGCAAGCAGGTTGAGTTAGGGACCTAGAGTTTCATGACAGAACTTTGTATATGTGTTCTTAAGTCTCTCCAGACATTGTGTGTCAGTCAGGACTCTGACCACTAATTGATCATGGTCGCTGATAGAGCAGGTATTTGGCATTTGGTGGTCTACAACCAGATCAGGATATTTAGGACATTGATTTGGGTTGCTGCAGCTAAGAGCTCTGAAAGCATATCCTCTGACGCTTAATAGCTGTTGTCTGGTGCCCGAAGACACGAGACAAGCCTTTGGCGTCCGACAGAAAGAGAAGGAAGAGACAAAAAAGTTTCCTGAGAAGTTTTGAATCTGGCTTCTTAGAATTGAGTGGAAGTGATCTAACTGTGGCTTTCAAGAAATAAGTGCTCACAGTTTGAGATTGGCAGAGGGGATACACTGGTTTTGTTTGGATTTAGAAAGATGCCTTTGAATCTAAAGCCCATGAGATCTGTTAAGAACACGTCAAATCTGCAGAACGTAGCCTGACTTTTTTTTTTTCTGTGGAACACAAAAGATATTTTGAACAAAAAGTTATTGCGATCCAGTGTTTGGATGGTAAAATTCTTCAAAATATCTTCTTTTATGTGCTTCTCTTATGTTTATGGTGTTGTATTGTAGTATGGGTATGAAATGTTGTTCATTTAGTTTCTTGCATGCTTCAGTGTTCTTGTGTAATTCAGTCCTAAAGTTAATCCTAAAGTAGGCTTATCGTTTAGTACAGCAGGATCGTATTGCCTGTCTGCTCAGGTAATACACAGAATCATGCATCTGTTCTGTCAAATACGTCGACCTGAAAATGACCTAATCATTTATTCACGTAGAATCAGACGTGCATTTAAGGTTTCACTTTTCCTGCATGGTTAATGCCAGGTATATATAATTACACAAAAATGTCTAAATGGTAGTCAAACAACTGCATAGTTTTATCATTTGAGCATTACTCATCATGTCACTTTAGGAGTTTAGACTGATCAATGAAATGTGGAGGTATTCTCTTATAAATATTAATAGCTAATGCGTTGTTAATGGGTTATTGAATAACTATGATATTCTTTTTAGAGATTGATGTCTTCATAATATGGTATGAAGGCAGCCAACTGCTGCCACTCTGCAGACTTTGAATAAACTCATTAGTGTTTTTTTTTAAAGATTTAAAATCTCCTTTCCATTTTAAGACATGCACTTGACTTGGGGATTTCAGATTGTAAAGTGTTACTGTGTATGAGAGTGTGTGGGAGTAGTGTGTTGGTGGTGATCATTTTTAGAGACTTACATCCTGTCCAATGCAGAGACTGAATCACACATACACACAAATAGAGCTAAATTACCAAGATGGTGCTCTAAGCAGGTTAAATTACAGTTAAACGGCAATCAGCACTGAAAAATGAATCATTGTGTGATGCTCAAAGGTGTCATGGTAAACCGAGTAGACCTTCGCATCTCTTCAAGTACACTACCTACTGTTCAAAAGTTTGCGGTTGCTAAGATTTTTTTTTACTGTTTTTGAAAGAGGTCTCTTTATTCACCAAGGTTGCTACTATTTGATTACAAATACAGTAAAACAGTAATATTATAAAATATTGTTAGAATGTGAAATAACTGTTTCTATTTATTCCTGTGATGCAAAGCTGAATTGTCAGCATCATTACACCTGTCTTCAGTGTCACATGATCTTTCAGAAATCATTCTAATATGCTGATTTGCTGCTCAAGAAAAATTTATTATCATTATCAATGTTAAAAGCAGTTGTGCTGCTTTACATTTTTGTACCCTACAATATCTGTAGTGTACCCTACAATATATTACATGAGATTCTGGTTATACAGATACACTTTCTGTATAATGCACGAGGCAGACAAGTGTACTGTATGTGTGCAGTCTGTTTGAGAATGTGAACCATTCTTTATTAATCTGTCAGTCAGTATCCAAAAGGATTATATGCATTACATATAATTTTTTTGAGACTTAATTCAAATAAAGAAAATTTTTCTGTTATCCGTTATAGCATGTTTTCTCTGCTGAAATTTTGGTGCATCTCTCATTCCTTCCCATATTTTTGCTCAATGCACAAGTCAGAAACTCTTTGTCCCAGTGCAGACTGGACTCCTGATGCCCAGACAGCCGTAATAATGCCCATATGGCATTGGATCAGCATGGCTTAACATATTAGTGTTACCCTGAAGGTTTAAAGCTCTGGTTAGGATGCTCTGTGCGAACATGAACCTGCAAAAACGGCATGTACAAACCCTGAATTGCACATCTTATCTTATAACCTAACCAGTAAACACATCTTGAACATCTATCAAGCCACATAGACAAACAAATGGCTAGTTCTAACTAGATAATAATGTGTATATAATCAGCAACATCCTGAAAGGTTACACGCACACATAAACGACACAATGGCAGTATCTATGTAAGCACTGTACAGTAATGAGTCTCAGTGCGGCCTGTGTGTGCTGTATTTAGCTCTGCTGTTACACAATAGTCTTGCTCTCTCTCTTTACCACAATCACCTCGCACTCTCACACACAAGCAAAATCTCTCAAACGGACCACATTGGCACAAACACACACACTCAGATCAGACCTTCTGGTGACCAAAAGTCTTATCTCTGCAGGGAATTTGAGATCAGCCTCCTGCTGCATTAATCACCTGGAAAAAGTATTCAAGTATATAATGGAGTCAGAGCTGTGGCTTATTGGTTGTTGGCATGCTGACACATTATGGGAGAAGAGGATAGAGAACTCACTCACATAATTTCCTGTCTTCTCTCTACTACCCCTTTCCATAAATGTTGCAGTAAACAATTGATTCTATTATTCAGTTTGTTCCAGTTTATTTAACATTGTAAATAGAAATATAAACCTGTTTTTAGTTCTTCATAATAGTCATTTACAGTACTATTTGATCAAAGTTAGCAGGTGTGGTCTGAAGGAGGCAGTAGGGATGTTGGGGTGGAACTGATCCAGGATCAGCCGGATCAAACTGGATGCTCAGCTCTGGCTTGCTTCCTGGATTATTGCTTTGACTCTTCTTTCCCCCTGTCTGGGATGCTCTCTCACCTATCTTTATGTCCTGTCATTAGATTTCATATGACTGCATCTTTATGGGTCCCATTTACTGCAAAGAAATTAAAGTGTATATATATACACTACTATTCAAAAATTTGGGGTTAGTATGATTTGTTATTGTTTTGAAAGAAATCTCTTATGCTCATCAAGGCTGCATTTATTTGATTAACATGCAGTATTTTACAACATTATGGTTTTTACTGTATCATTAAAGTTTTAATGTGTTTAAATGTATTTTCCCCCTGTGACAGCAAAGCTAAATATTCAACCGCTATTACCCTAGTGTTCAGTGTCACATGATCCTTCAGAAATCATTCTTATATGCTGATTTGCTGCTCAAGAAACATTTATTATTATCAATGTTATTAACGGTTGTGCTGCTTAATATTTTTTGTGGAATTTGTGTGTGTGTGTGTGTGTGTGTGTACAAGTTTATATTACATTGTGGGGACCAGGTTAATAATAGGTTAATAAACGTATTAAATTATATTTTTTGGAAAATGTAAAAATGCAGAAAGTTTTGTGTGATTGGTAGGTTTAGGGGTAGGGTTAGTGTAAGGGGACAGAATATACAGTTTGTACAGTATAAAAACCATTACGTCTATGGAGAGTCCCCACAAAGATAGTAAACCGTGTGTGTGTGTGTTAGTATTTGAGCGTTTAAGTAATCCGCTGGTCATGAGTTAGCTAGGAAAATAAGATGCAAAGGAGGAAATGAAACCAGTTCAATACAGCAGCTTTTCACCACAAACCTTAGTACTGGAAAGTCACACTTTAATCTGAATATATCAGCCAGACACAAACACACATACACACACATACCTTACAGTAGAGCTCAGGGCAGTAAGTCAGACAGGGTGAGTTTGTCCCTTTAAGTGATCTATCTCCTGCTTTCTCTAATTTTAATCATGACACTTTATACTCCCCGGCACAATTTAGAGGTCACCACTGGCCGCAAAGATGCACACTGTCTGACCTCTGAGTGTGACCGTGAGAGGACCGGCCTTGTTATGGGGACCATTAACTCTTCATTCCCAAACCAGCACTTTTGTTCACATCTTGTACTTAGACATGGTAAACCTTCCATGTGATTTTTATTCCAAAAACATGCTTTAATATTTCCATAATATATTCTTTAACTGGCCTGAAGTGTTTTAGCCCATCAAATGTGAGGGAATGTTGTTCTTAACCAATTATTGCAGGACAAAATAGAACTTGGTGTGTGGTATAATTTAATTTTGAGATCTTTTTTGTTAATCTGTAGTACATTAATGCATTATGTGTGTTAAAGGAATATGTGTTTTATATAATCAGTTCTCTCTCTGTCCGCAGGGGTGGTCTGATGTGGAGGCTGAGGAGGATACTGATCTGGGTGCTGGGAATCTACATCGCTATCCCTGTTATCATCAAACTCTGTCCAGCAATACAAGCAAAATTAGTATTTTTAAACTTTGGTGAGTATTTTTTTTATCCAATCTTTTCAACTTGGCCAAACTATATATAAATTTTGGTATGAAGGCCAGAAGTTTGCCATATACTTCGAGCATTATTTGTTTACTTTGGCATTTATAGTGTGTTCACACCGAACGTGAATTTAATTATTTGCGCGAGTAAATTACATACAAAGTCAATGCAAAGACGCGAATCGACGCATCATTGGCGCCGGGCGTCGCGAATGACGCGAATTGGGCGACGCGTCTTCCGCGCATGTTGAAAAATTTGAACTCGAGCGGAAGATTCAAGCGTCAAACTAGACGCGATAGACGCGTATTTGACGCTCTATTCGCATTCGGTGTGAACACACCATTAGACAAGGTTTTTGTGTGTGTGTGTGTGTACTGTGTGGATATACTTTTGTTATCTTAAACAAGTGGTCAGTCTTTGTAAACTTTGATATTCATGTCAGTATTTTTAAACTAAACTAATTTTGTATGTTTTGCGATGCCCAGACCAATCATTTTGCATTTGCATTTTGTTATTCAAGCAAAGCTGCCATGTAGCCTGTCATATTTGGTTGCTGCATCAGTTTCTGTTGATGTATAATTTAATACAGTAACTTGATGGGTCAGTTTCCATTATTATCTGCTGCTGCAAGGACAAGCTTAGGGCAATTCACCTCAAGGGAAATGTAGTATCCAAGGAGATTGTTACACTGCATTTTCCCCTGTGAAATATTCAGCATGCTCAACAACTCTGAAGACACATTCAGTCACACACACTTAAAAGTCATCAAATAAAAACAGCATAGTGCATCTTCATAAAATCAAATATTTTGCCTGTTTCGGAGTTGAGAAATAATAACTACACACTGTGCCATTTCAAAATTTATGAACTTTTTGGATACAAATATGAATTTTTAATCTTGTCTTAATTTGTACTTTATATGTACCTTAATTTATGACTAGTAATGTGAGCTAACAAAGTAATTATTTTTCTGCAGACGTCTGTGGAAACTTAAAATTTTTTTTTAAAGGATTCTTTAACTTTTTCCCTGCCATTGATGCATTTTTCGTCATTTATTATGACACAACACTTCCCCACCATTGACAAACATTTCCGGCAATCCATGTTTTTGTTATATGTTAGGTGTATGGTCATGGTGTTATATGTTAGGCTGTAAGCCCGACTCAATCGATCCAATGACGGCATTCGATCAGCGGGTGAAGGTCTCTGCGTGTTACTGTCTTTCCGCGTGGCAAAGTAATTTGATTAAATGAAATACATTTTTTCATGTACTAACTCGTTATCTCATCTGACTCCATAAACGAAAAGGTTTTAATGATATTATCTGTGCATCATTAAATGTAAGCGAATGTTTGACTATTCTTTTTAACTCTTTACTGAAAATAATGTAAAAAAAAAAAAAAACATTGACTTCAGGACGATGGAACCGGAAGTGCTAAAATGCTAACTCGTTTCTGCGTTTTTGGCCTACAAAGTGACGTCATACCTGCACGACTCTATTGCTCATGCACATGTTGTAGTCTTTTGAAAAAACTTGATTTTCTCAGCTTTTTGTTCAAAATGTTGCTTTTTTTTTTAAATGAAACTTACCCATATTCAAGTATTGCTAAACAAAGAATGAATGAAGCTAGAATAAGATGGGGGTTTTTATCAAAAATGATTAAAAAATGCTGGTGGTGGCTGGTAACTATTAAACAAAAAGAGACATTTTGTAACAATGTAAGTTTTTACTGTCACTTTTGATCAATATAATGCATCCTTGCTAAATTAAAACTTAATTTCTTTCCAAAATCCTACTGACCCCAAACTGTTGACTGGTAGTGTACCTGTGAGTGTTCAGTAACGCTGATCCACAGTCTCTACTTTGTCCTCTTGTACTGAAGCCTCAGCGCTTGTTTTGCAACAATGTCTTTTGGTATATAAAAGTGTATAAAAGTACAGAACAGACTCTGCTGGACATCATGACATTAAGACATTTCAAACATTAAAGTTGGATACACAGTTGCAGTTTGGGTTTAGTCAGCCTTTTGTTGTTACGACCAAACAAAGCCGTCATTCATCCATCAATCCAGTTTAAATGCCCACTCTGTTCACCGCTGAGATCCTGTCTCACTTCAACAGCCTCTCACATGTCTATTGGCCTTATCAGATTATTTCTATGTTGTCACATCATGGTTTCATTTCTCTGATATTAGTCATGGTTCTGTGGTGTTTCGGGCTGACGTTAGCATTAGCATTGTCAGCAGTGTCACGCCGCTTCTGTCAGCTGATGTGTTTCTCCACACTATGTTCTGCTTCTGTTTGCAGTCTGAACTAATAATGGACAGACTCTGTGTAAAAGTGAGACTGTAAGCATCCCTGTGTCTGCTTTACTTTACTGCGAGAAATCTGAGACTAAGGTTGGTGAATTTAGTCTAGTCATCAGTCTCCTGAGAAAGCTTGTGGCACACTTTCAGTTCTTAAATGGCAAACCGAATGTTATTCGTAGGTTCTTGCAGCGCAGACTATAGATTATATAGATTCACATGACTGTTTTCCAGTCTTACTGTGACCAGACTTGCAGAGTTGCAAAAACCTTGGTATGAAATGATTTACCAGCATGATTACTTCATTTGTAAATGTTCAATAACGATTCAGTATTTCATCAAAATTTCTCTTTATTGAAGAGAGTGTAAAATTAAAAATCACTCATCTTAAATCTCATCAGGATTTTTCAGCGACACGGAATGGAATTTATAAATACAGTAGAGTTAAACTAGAACTAAACAATCTTTTTTTTTTTTGCTTCTGTACCTTTAAGACTCCTGTAAGTACACTACCGGTTAAAAGGTTGGTGTCAGTAAGATTTTTATGTCTCTTATGCTCACCAAGGCTGATTTTATTTGATCTAATATACAGGTAAAAACAGTAATATTGTAAAATATTATTACAGGTTTTCTATTTTTATTAATTTTTAAAATTAATTTATTCCTGTGATGGCAAGGCAAAGCTGAATTTTCAGCCTCATAACTCTAATATGTCACATGATCTAATATGCTGATGTCTTATTTATCGATGTTGATAACAGTTGTGCTGCTTAATATTTTTGTGGAAATCTTTTTTTTTTCCAGGATTCTTTGATAAAAAATAAAGATAAAAAATAATAATATTTGAAATCTTTTGTAACATTTTGAATGTCTTTACTGTCACTTTTGATCAATTTAATGCATCCTTGCTAAATATGAGTATTCATTTATTTTTTTTAAATCGTACTAACCCCAAACTTTTAAATGGTAGTGTACATTATGTTTGTTATGATTGGATAATCTACATGTACTGGCATAGATTAAACTAACGTCTATTAGATAAATTGATAAATCTATCAAACAAAATTTGCTGCTATGTAACACAATACAAAATTAAAGTGCATTAATATTAACTGAGTCATGCAGACGTTTCTTGGTATCATTGATGTATAAATCTCAGTGGTCATATGTTAAAGGCAACATGAAATAAAAATGTACACTATTTAACTTATTTCGATTTCAACTGACGATTCCATTCTGGTATCTGATGCCGACTTTCCAAGATCCCATCAATTCCCGTTGGATAAAAAAAAAAAAAAAAAATTTTTTTTCCATGGAATATCCTGTTTAACTGAGAAATGCATCAGAATCAGCTCCACATTGACTGACTTCTGTTTCACTCTCTTTCAGTGCGAGTGCCGTATTTTATAGATCTGAAGAGACCACAGGATCAGGGCTTGAATCACACTCACAACTTCTACCTACAGCCGGAGGAAGGAATCAACATTGGAGTGTGGTGAGAGAACAGACACAGATTACAGCTAAAATACAGACACAGCCTGGCTTACCTCCACTCGCTATCTCTCTGTCCTCACATTCTCTACCCCACAGTTTCTGTCCCTCTCTCTCTCTCTGCCTATGGCAATGGCTGTCTTTCTGAAGGGCGCACTTATTGAAACACAGCCTGTGGCCCAAAGTATGTAAATCCGTAGTGACAGAGGACTGCACGGGCCCGTGGCTGCTGGCCATTGGGTGTGACTGTGAATGTGTGTGTTTGACTTTCACTGAGTAACAGTGGAAAGGGCCATATAAGCCTCCTGCCACTGATGCCGTAGAAGTTTTCTCTCCATAAATAAGCTCATTTGTGTACTGGTCACATTCAATATTGAGTAGGAGAGTCTTTTATAATAAATTCTTGGTGAAGTCCTGAAAGAGTACACTACTATGTTTGGAGTCAGTAAGATTTTTTTATTTTTGAAAGAAACTAATACGTGAAATTAATAATCCAACAAGGATGCATTAAATTGATCATAAAAGTGACAGTAAAGACATTTATAATGTTGTATTTGTATAATTTTATTTAAAAAATATATATTTCAAATACATGCTGTTCTTTTGAATTTTCTATTCATCAAAGAATCCTGAAAAAAAAAAAAAACTGTTTTCAACATTGACAACTATAATAGTAGTTTCTTGAGCAAATCAGCATATTAGAATGATTTCTGAAGGATCATGTGACACTGAAGACTGGAGTAATGATGCTGAAAATTCAGCTTTGATCACTGGAATAAATTGCATTTTAATATATTTATTTTATACTGAAATAATATTTCATAATATTACTGTTTTTACTGTATTTTTTATCAAATAAATGCAGCCTTGGTGAGCATAAGAGACTTCTTTCAAATACAGTAAAAATTTTACCGACCCCAAACTTTTGAATAGTAGCACATGCCTTCTTAGTGAATCAAACCTTTTCACTATATCAAGTGAAGGAAGCAGTGTTGTAACAGCTGTATTCTCTCTCTCTCTCTCTCTCTCTCTCTCTCTCTCTCTCTCTCTCTCTCTCTCTCTCTCTCTCTCTCTCTCTCTCTCTCTCTCTCTCTCTCTCTCTCTCTCTCTCTCTCTCTCTCTCTCTCTCTCTCTCTCTCTCTCTCTCTCTCTCTCTCTCTCTCAGGCACACAGTACCTACAGTGATGTGGAGGGAGGCTCAGGCAGAAGATCCTGAATGGTACGACAAAAGCTTCCAGTCCAGTCACCCTGTCATCCTGTATCTCCATGGTAATGCTGGAACAAGGTACACAAACACTCAGGGACACGGGATCAATACCACTTTCTAAAGCCCTCTCAATCTCAAAAATGATTCATTGTCCGTTAAAGGCCAGTTCCCACTGCACCAACAGTTTGTCAGGTTTTGTCGGATCCATGTGTGTTACCCATCAGCATCTGTTGCCATTGTTTTCTCTCGTTGAACATGTTTGTCGGGTCATGGAATTGGTGTTCTTTATTCTGGTGATTGTCTGTGTTGTTCGCCGTCTGTCGGTGCAATGTGAATTGGCCTTAAGGCTGGAATACAATACACAGCTTTTGCCCAGATCTTTCTCACAATTTACAGTCAAGAGGAGTCGATGCTAGTTGCCGATTTCACAGAAAATCGTATTGTGTGTGATGGGCACAGATTTTTTTTGCTTCAGACTATGATTCCAGCCATATGGAGGAAATCAAACATGTTTGATATTTTAAGCATATTGTTTTCATTTGCCATGCACCTTGTTGCTAGGAGAGTTTGTTGTGTTTAGAACATGATGTTATATGATAGTATGATGCCCATTTTTCTTTGTTACCATTTACAAAGTCGGCAAATGCCTGATGTTTTAAAATCTGTTCAAATTTGAAAAGTCATGTAGGGTATTCCAGGCTTTATAAGGATTCTGTCAAATGCAGTTCAATAGATACAGTTGTTTGGTCACTTTACTTGAGTATGTTTGTGTGTGTGTTTCAGAGGAGGGGATCACAGAGTTCAGCTCTACAAGGTAAAAAAAAAAAGCAATTGCCTTTAAATTTTCACCGCCGTTAAGAAGTTTGGAGTCAATACAATTTTTTTTTTAAAGAAATTAATTATTTTGTTCAGCAAAGGTGCATTAAATCTAAAAAAGTGGCAGTAATGTTACAAAAGACTGCTATTTCAAGTAAATGCTGTTCTTTTGAACTTTCTAGTCATCCATGAATCCTGAAAAAAAGTATCATGGTTTCCAGGAAAAACTTATTTTCAACATCAACAAAAGTTTCTTGAGTATCAAATCAACATTTCACAATATTGCTGCTTTACTGTATTTTTGATCAAATAAATGCAGTCTTGGAGAGACACGTATTTGAAAAAAAAAAGTCTGGAAATTTGAGTCTGGAAAAGTATGGATTTTTTATTTATTTTATTTTTATGGAAAATGAGCAGGAACCCTTTTTTTGTCCATTTGTCTATTTGAGTAATGTCAGACAATTTCTTTTCCTGTCTCTGCAGGTTCTTAGTTCATTAGGCTACCATGTAGTCACGTTCGATTATAGAGGTATGTTGGGTGTCATTTTTAAAGCATTATCCTATCATTTGAGTCAGAATCCCATTCCCAGTGCCGGATTGAAGCACCATGTGGTTTTGTTTGTTTGTGCAGGTTGGGGTGACTCTGAGGGCAGCCCTTCAGAGAAAGGGATGACGTCAGACGCCCTCTTCCTCTACCAGTGGATAAAGCAGCGGATTGGCCAGAAGCCCCTTCACATCTGGGGTCATTCACTCGGCACAGGGTGAGATGAACTCGCCAGAGCCATCTCATAGAGCTCTGAGGATAGTGTTCCTTTCTCTAGAAGTGGAACTTCTTGTTCTTGGAATAATATTTTGGCATTCATTTGACATAAAGGAATTGATTGTGTAACTCCCTGTGGCATTTTTGAACTGCTGCTGATGCTGTACATTCCTGTTTTTCCAGAGTGGCCACTAACCTAGTGAGACGGCTGTGTGACAGGGGTACGTGATCATTAGTTTGTGTAAACTTATGGGCTGGGATGTTGAAACTGAGAACAAACCGTAGCCAGCAGTGTAAAACTACAATTTGAGACCAAGTAGAAACTTCCGACAGCTGGTTGCAGCCGGTTGAACCTTTATCCTTCAATGGCTTGCACCCATTTACTTCTAAGAAATCACATTGAATAAAGGGATGAATTCTATGTCACCTCATTATTATTCATGAGCCAAGAACATTCTTGTAGACATGTTCCCAAATGAAATGATTGAAAATCCAAAAGTGTGATTTCCAGGGCTGTAAATTTTTTGGAAATTAATACAATCTTAAAAGGTCATGGACATTTCTATAGTCAATTTACACTGCTATTCAAAAGTTTGGGGCCAATCAATAATTCTATTCAGCAAGGAGGCATTAAATTGGTCAAAAGTGACAGTAAAGACATTTATGAGGATACAAAGAAAATCTATTTCAGTAAATACTGTTCTTTTGAACTTTCTGTTCATCAAAGAATCCTGAAATAAATTATCACAGTTTCCACAAACAAAGCGGTACAACTGTTTTGAACATTGATAATAACAAGAAATGTTTCTTGAGCAAATCAGAATATTAGACTGATTTCTGAAGGATCATGAGACACTGAAGACTGGAGTAATGATGCTGAAAATTCAGCTTTGCATCACAGGAATAAATTACATTTTTTTAAAATATATTAAAATAGAAAACTTATTTTAAATTGGAATAATACTAGGTTTTTACTCTATTTCTGATTAAATAAATTCATCTTTGGTGAGCAAAAGATATTTTCTTCAAAAACATTTTGAACAAAAGTATAACATTTTCTCGACATACTTCTAAAGTATTTATTTGGCTAGAGTTTACCGTTTGTGAGTGTGATCTATATCAAGCCATTTTTTCAAAATCCTTCTAATCCTCACAAATGACTGGAAAAGTGATGGTTAAATTCTGGAAAAGCATTGGCCAGAAAGTGTGGAAACCCTAAATGTCAAATTTGAGTCTAAAACATTTGTTAATATTTAATAATAATTATAATTGGCTCACATAAAGAACGATGAATGTAAATTGAAGTGCCCTGATCGCCGACAAGAGTTTAGGAATATAATTTCTTTATTTCTTGTCATTAAGGAAGCTGCGACTCTGATTTGACGTTTCAGAAATAGACAAGCTTTAATAGGCACTGACTAGATTAAGAGTGAACTTATGTAATCGGCAAGCACTTCAAGTCTTTAAGTTACATAAGCCTGTATTTGAGCCGCTGTTACAAAACTTGAAGGAATGACGACTTTCTTCCTCTGTGTTTACAGGAACGCCCCCTGACTCGCTGATTTTAGAGTCGCCCTTTACCAATATCAGAGAGGAAGCCAAGAGCCATCCCTTCTCTATGGTGAGAAGTCAAGTTCCTGTTCACTCTCAAAGTATCATGTATTGCCTTTGTGCCACGAATAAAAGCAGAATTGACCTTGGACATTGATATATGTTCATTTATTATATATGTGTAACAGGTTTACAGATATCTACCAGGCTTTGACTGGTTCTTCCTGGATTCAATTACTGCAAATGACATCCAATTTGCCAGTGATGAGAAGTAGGTTCTTGTCCTCTATTTAGTTTGTTTCTCTGTAAGTTTTAGTGCGATTGTTTGTTTACCCTGTGTCCACCTAGGGAAACTGTTGAGTGTTTACACAGCATTTTCTGTAGCATTTCACATGCTGGAGGCTTCATCTTCCTCTGAGAATTTGTTTTAGAAACAGACTTAATGTGAATGCTTGTATACTGTAAAGAGAGCACTTTAGTATTCAGCCCCATGTGACCGTTGATTCTTCAGACATAGGTGCAGTGATCATGCAATTCATTACACAGACCTCCAGTGCAAGTTCCCAGGCTGGACCTATGTTCTAAGTTCTAAGACGAGACCTATGAAATCCCTATAAGGTTGTACCTCTTTTGAGTACTTTGGGGTATTTCAAACACCTGAAAATGTGTCTGTCTGTCTCTTAGTGTCAAGCACATATCCTGTCCGGTTCTGATCCTGCATGCAGAAGATGACACAGTCGTACCTTTCCAGCTGGGAAAGAAGGTAAAGCATCAACGTCAAACAATGACAGGGTTCATTTAAAACTGTAGAATGGATAGTTCAGACTCTAAATTCTGATTGGATGAGATATGCTCATTATACTTGGATTACAATTATTTGATCACTTGTTATGATTAAACCTAATTTCTGCTTTTTAAAGCACATATGGCATGTCTGATGGTATTTTTTTACTTTTATCTGCCATGTTTCTCAGGCTCAAGTTTTACTATATGCATGTGAGGATGTGTATTAAACAACATGTTACATGTCAAACAAAATCATATACCAAATAAAGTTGCAGTAAAAATAGGTTTTGGTTTGTTCAGAAATAACCTAAACCTAAATATATCTTCATTACAAACCATTGGTATCACTCTTTGTTTCTTTTTTAATATTAACTAACATTATTATACGATATAGAACACAACCACGGTGTTACTTATAGCTGTTTGATGTAGGGTTATTATAGTTTACTAAAACCATTAAAAAAAAATCTGTTACTTGAAATAAAGAAAATATAAAAACCTTAAATGTATTTTATTTCAGCTAGTTGCTAAAGCAACATTTCTCAATTTTATTTTGTTGATCTCGATAATAGATAATAGTCATATAAAAAAAACTACTAAAAAAGTCAAAACATACTATACAATACTAAAATAACACTGGTTATTAATAATATTATTATAATTATTATACAACAATAATAATATATTATGGTTGTTGCTAATGCATTTGTTTTTTTAAATGGTCTGTTCTGTGTAATAATAATAATAAAACAATATATAATTATATTAATTATATATAATAAATAATATAATTAATATACTCATTATTAGTATTAATAATAACAACAACAGTTATAATATATTATGGTACCTCCTAATACATTTGTTTGAAAGATGCTGTTCTCTCTGTTTATCCACAGCTGTATGATTTGGCGGCTCAGAGTAAGAGTCTGAATGGACATAAGGTTCAGTTCATCCCGTTCTCCAGCTCTCTGGGATACAGACACAAGTTCATCTACAAGAGCCCACAGCTACCAAATATACTCAGGTATGTACTGTACACTTTACAAACTGCTGCCATCTGTACTTTTTCCCAGTGCTCAGCGCTGACAAAACAGTTCAGCAACATTTAATCTTATTTTTTATTTTTTGGGTGTGAATACAAGCTATTTTTAGGATTGTGCCAGGTGGAGTAATTTTGACATTCTGCTCCAGGTCCCTGACCAAGAGCCGAGGCAATAGTAATTCAGACATGCATAAATCACTGTCATTCTGCTCTGTTCCAGTTTGTGCTGGTACTGAACCAACAAACAGATCTGGTTTTATTTGAGATGGGGGTTGTTGGTAATGATTTCTTTAGGGAGACAGACCTTTACAGGTGGGGTTCTCAAACATTTTGTCAACTGAACCGCTGTGATCAAAATTATTTATTTGAAATAGCCTGAGATTTTAAGTAATAACTTTTAGTTTTCTAAATGTATTAAATTGATTTAATAACTGATTCTTTTGTCATTTTAATTTGTTCACTTTTTTAAATTATTAATTATATATTAAATACACCTGAATATATTTGGACACTGAGACAACTCTTAAACTTTATGTATTAAAGTCTGCAAGACTTCTTCCAAGAACTAACTACCTTTCATGGACATGTTTTCTTTTTCAATTACTGTTGAACAACTAGTCCGACTCTGAAGGTTATGTGTCTTTTAACTGTATATCTATGGTTTTATAATTGAAAACATTACAATTCTTCTGTGCAATATTTTGCCATCTATCTTTATATATGACACTGAAGTGTGGCTAAAGGATCAAAATCCTTCTATACTTTTATAGATATTTGTATATACTATTATACATATTTCTGTACATATTTATCAGTTTTTTATAGATACATTTAATGTAATTTATATTGATTTAAATGTATTGTTTTGTTTAGTTTAATTCAACAATAGCATTTCTACAACTGTAGCAAATCCCGGTCAAGAAACCCAGTTTTATTTCTATTAGATTTTGAGAAATCTAATGTGTTTTTGTTCTCTTTGTCTCTGTCTCAGTGATTTTCTCAGTGCAACGCTTCCTCACATGTAGTCAAGATCATTTTACATGACTGCCCTCTCTCACACACTGTCAGTCAAACACACACACAATGTACATTGTCCGCACCGTGTACATCATGTGTACACACACAAGCATGGACTGAAGATGCAAGTTCCTTTTGCATTCCTTTGTTAACACAACCTACGGAGGGAGAAAGTTATCATCTTTGAGAGAGTGACAGGACTGGGTGATTTGTTTCACCGCCTCCTGTTGTCATGGTGACAGATCTGAAGGGGCAGCTGGAGCACAAAGTATGCAAAATAATATGCAAATATGCACTGAAATTAATGCTTAAGTCAACGAGCCTCTTCAAAGGAAAGAAGTACAGATGAAGTTTTAACGATGGCACTGAGAAGACCACACAAGGATCAAGGTCAAAGGGACGAATCAGGACAAGATGATGTCACCGTCAGTGCTTGCTGACTGCGATTCAGTTTTGTTTTTATGAACGTACAATAACCGACTTATTAACAATATCATGGACCTGAAATCCACTCAATGTGAACAGCGGAGTTGTTTTAGGTTGAACTTGAATTATGTACAATAAAATGTCGTCTTTCTTTTCGTTTCTTCCCATTTAAATGATGTGTCTCCTGAATGATTTTAAAGTGCAGATTTTTGTGCTGCCTTGGCATTAAAACTCTGTGACTTTTTTATGGGGTTTATTGTGTATTCTGTTTATGCTGTAATGTTTGCTTGGTACATATGCAACCCAACTGCAATCAGAACTGAATGAGCTTTTGACATGACATTTCCCTCTCCAAATTCCCAATGTTTCATTATTTTAATGCATTTGATTGATCTATGCTAGTTTGCATGCGTTACTGGAAAAAAAGATTGTTGCACTGTCAAAAGAAAAACTGTATGCATAATCATTTTCTTTTCTTCGTTATATATTTTATTTGGTGTTTATACTCACTTTGCACATTCCAAAAAATATATATTAAAAACAATAATTCCTTGTTACCATAATATGTTGGATGCCCAAATCAAAAACCCTAGAAGTGACAAATCTTGAAAACTTATTTTTTATTAATTTTACATTAAATATGTGCCCTCCTCTTTAATATAGAGCCAAAAAAAACTTTATATAAATCATTAACTCACTGATGTACACTACTGTTCAAAAGTTTGGGGTCAGTATGTTTTTCTCTTATGTTCACCAAGGCTATATTTATATGACCAAAAATACAGTAAAAACAGTCAAATTGTAAAAGGGTTCTTAGGCAGTTTGGAGAAGTATGGGATTTGATTTGAGTATTTTCCAAGTCTGGAAAAATATTAAATTAAGAATTTCTAAACTTATACAAGTAGAGCGGTTTCATGGCAAAATGTATCAGTTAGTGATTGTCTTAACATGAGAGAATGAATTTAAGGTGCACATTTTCATTACACAAAACTGTTTGTCTTTACCACTCAAACCAGCAACAGATAAAGGATATTTAAATCAGAGTGTACTTTGCTGTTTGGTGATTGTGCCACATCAAACCACAGGTGAATACATGAAGGTTATAAAGCACTTTTGGTTTCTTCTCATGCCAGCGCATGTTATCACTTCTAGAAAACCAATTAAAAATTTAAATTATATATGACTACTGTATAACAAATATAGTACTGAAAATAGTGTTGTATGCACCATTTATGTTAAATATGGTCTGAAATTTATTTTACATGGAAAATGTGTAGCAACCCTGTATTACAATATATTATATTGCATAATATTACAACATTTTTTAAAATAGAATTTATTCCTGTGATGCAAAAGCTGAATTTTCAGCATTATTACTGCAGTCTTCAGTGTCACATGATCTTTCAGAAATCATTCTAATATGCTGATTTGCTGCATTTCTTATTCTGTGTTAACAACAGTTGTGTAAACCATGATATTTTTTGCAAGTTTTTTTTTTTATGAATAGCAACAAAAAAAACTTTATTTGAAATCTTTTGTAACATTTGTCACTCAGAAAACTTGCTAACTTTCAAAAGAAAAAAAATCATACTGAACCAAAACTTTTGAACCGGTAGTATACTTTTGTTTACAGTTATTTAACCAAACTTCACTTTTAGTGTATCTTCCAATGTTTTATAGTGTTCTCTCACATTTTGAGCAATAACGACACATCTTTGATTTGCTCTGACATCTTGTCATGTATATTTGATGAACATATTTTCTTCCCAATGTGCACTGACCATCTGATAACTCTTATCTGCGAACACAAGTGAATCTCACTGTAATACGGGCCTTTTGAAAATCGAGATCTGTATTGTTGCTATATTTGTCAGACATTTTTTGGGCTGTTAATGATAGGAAGGTCATATGTGCAAGCATGCACGCTTGGATCGTCTCAAGGCTCTGTTTGTACACTGTCAATGTTACTCTCAGATACAAATTGCATCCCAATATTTTTTGTTTTCTTCTGTCAGTGTGGGCTCATGATGGACTGATACACTGAAAGCAAAACAACCAAAATCTCTTAGTTTGCGAAGGACTATATAGAAATGATCAAGTTTTAGCGAGACCACCAGGTCCTAGAGAAGTGCAATAATCTTATCTAAAGCCGAAGGACAACCATACTGTATGAAAGACCAAAAACAAACTATATATAGAGGTATAAATGAAGCCACTCAATTATGTATCCTGTTGTGTTAGAATGTAAAAATGGACCACAGTGTATTTGGATGTCACTGCTCTGACCTTCGTTGATGTTGACCAAACTTTGCATATTTGATTTCAACACTTATATAAAATTATTTTTTTGTAATGAAATTAAATACTGCCCAGTTATTTCAACAGCAACTGTTACTTTTTGCAGACTATATCATGAGTGGTTTACAATGTTTGTTTTCTCCTAAGCTGCTAAACCTTACTGGACACATGCACAGATGTAAGTACAGTATGTTTGTTTGTAAACAATAAAGAACTGGAAAAGTAGTATGTGTGGCTTTCTGATATCCACTATTTTTAAAACTTTTATACTGAATCCCAGGACGGCATCATTTTTTTTTTTTTTTTCATGTAGCAGAATACACATGCATATACACAAACCAATGTGAACAGACAGGGATAAACTCAAATCCAGTTAAACTAGTTACGCTACAGGAAAGCTTGGGGTTAGTTTCAGTTTTTTTTAGTTTTTTTTTGTATCAGCAATGCCTCATTCATCCATTCACTTGTACCTTACCCGACAACTGTTCAAGCCATTCATTACTACAGTATACTGAGTGATATGAATGTGGCGTAATAAGACAACAGCCTTCAATCTTTACAACACTGAACAGATTCTCCAACTTGCAATTGGAATTGCCTTGTTTAGTCATTTAAGTCAACAGCATACTGTTTTTATTTATATTATTATTTGTTAACATGGTAATTTCCTTACAGTACTTCTGTAAAAAAAAAAAAAAATAGCAAGAAAACAAGGCCTCAGTACAAGTGTGAATGTTCAAAGATGACATCCATAAGCATACATTCAAATGACAGCCTGGAATCTTAAATGCTGTTTAGAGTTTGATTTATGAAAAGGGTCATAGTTCAAGCTACAGATACATTAGCACAAACATATCATCACTTGGTAATATTATGCATAATAGAGCAGAAATTGACATCAGCTCACCCTGACAAAATAGAAAATATAATGTACGATTTGATGGATTCGGGTGAGTTTACATCAGCCAGCTGCCATATATCCTCTATTCTCATTGTTTTATGAAATATTTACATTATTGTTGTTAATATTGCACAGTATGCACAGAAGGCACCCTTAAACCTGCGTCAGAAAGCTTGAATAAAAAGATAATTTGGACACTGAACCACTTGCGTTCTGGAGTCATTACATTAACGCTGTTTGCCACTTTTGAGACGGTTGTTTCTGACTGGTTATATACTGTATTTTAGGGCAGGGAGACTAATTCTACTGAATTTAAACAAACCAAAGGTGGCTGATGATAAAATATTTCCTGAAGCTACTAAGAAATATACCAGGACACAAATGATAGTTAGGTCTCCAATGTTTTCCAGTTGTTGATTTCACTTCCTAAAACACATAAAACAGGGACAGAACTATAGTCTTGGCTATTGAAATTAGTGGCATCTCTGTTATAATCAGTCAGAATGGACACCCTTAAAAGTGATACAAGGAATGCACCAAAATTGAGAATTTACACATGCATTAATACAGCAGTAAACTTAGGCTAGACTAAGCTCTTAACTAAATGAAGCTTCAATAAATTGGTCTCAGATAAGCAACTAATTGAATTGGCATAACAGAATCCATGAAAATTGAGTATGGGCAAGTGAGGGTAACAGTAATTTTAAATGTACTACAGTGTAAGTGCACATGGAGGAGTTAGTTTGTGTGTATATTGAGGGTACACTACAGTCGTGAAATTCAAAGAGGTTCCATGTGGTGTTATGCATAGTGAGAGAAACCTGAAGGCACACCAACACACTGGGAATGGTTGAGGAACAGGCAAGCAAACCCGGTGTTCCCTGCTCCCTCATTCCCGTGGTTCATTAGGTGGCGGGATCTTGACGTCCGACGGCTCCACTCCCCAGATCTCACGGGCGTACTCCGTGATGGTGCGGTCACTGGAGAACTTTCCAGAAGCAGCGATATTCCTGATCACTGTTTTGGTCCATTCTTTTGGGTTCTGAATAAATAAATAAATAAAAAAGAGTGGGGAATTTTACTTATAATGAAAGAACAAAGCTTAAAAGAAAGTTGCTATTGGGAAACAAGCAGTTTTGCCTATACATCTATTTCTCAAAAATCAGTTCTACATTTTGAGCAGTGGAAGACACATTTAAACTCCATTTATTGGCTGATTGATCCACTTGGTCATTTTCAGATTATGACCATCAGCTAACAATTAAAAGGAGTGTTAGGCGCCCACTTGTGTCAATTACAAAAACATTTTCTGTTCTCAGATGTTTTATATAATTATAGTTTACAACATTTCATTAAAAATGCAGTTTAAAATTAAATATAGATCATAAAGAAAAAAATATTTAAAATGTTCAAATTACGAAATGGACACCCTGGTCTCAGCCATTGAAAAACCCATATTGGTAGACCACCACTAATGAATATCCAAACCATCTTAACTCACCCTGTAGAGTTCATTAACTTTTTCTTGACTGCTGATATACGATTCATAGTCTGCAAACACCTTGAACCTGAAAGAGAAAAACAATAGAAGTCAGACACCTCCTACAAATGCAAAAACAAATGTGATAATGGGTAATTGTTTCATAGTTTCCATAAACCTTATATTCACGTCAATATACACACATATACATATATACATATATATATATATATA